CCCTCGCTTTTATACAGTGAAAAGCTTCTATAAAGCCGGAAACTCCAAGCCTGTCGTCTCCCGTGTCACGTTCTTCCCTTTACGGAAAAAAACCGTTGCTTCTGTGGGCAAGCTAATCCTGCGAAGCGTCCCCAAATAGATGCCACGAGGCACGCTGGCTAATACGTTACAATAGTTACGTTTCCCGCAATGCCTGTCCGAATTAACACATTTCAGTCAACATTTTCAGTAACACTCATAATAAATCGTGGAATATTAGGTGCGAAAACTAAATATTTTCAAGAAAATATTAGGACAAATTCGACAACTGCAACTGGGTTTCATACGGCTAAATCACGTCCCAACAATGAGAAGAAATTTACATAACTACAACTGCCGCGTCACGGGGTGGAATACCATTGTCGCATTCCTATATGATATTTCCTTAAGTCTAGCAAATAGGGCACGGAAAGTTTGTAAAATTACGCCAAACTACCAGTATTAAAAAAATTACATAACTATTTTTACAGAAATATTTTTTAAAAATAAAATCTTTAAAAAAATTATGATTGAAATATTTTTGTATTGATATTGTTTTTGTATATTTGTATTCTTTCGAATTTTGTAACTTGCAATTTTTTGCTCAACAAAACCTAATTGAAGTAATTGCAATTAATGTTATTATATATTGACACTAAATGAGTGCCAACTTCCAAAATGTATTGATACCACTGCAAACGAAGCGCGGGAAATTCAAATTTAGAATTTCGATTATTTTCCTTTTTTGGTAAATTCAGAGCGTGCGCCGAAATTGAGACCAGAACAACTTTTTCAGCCATTCATTGCTACAGAGTGTAAAAAATAAAGATAAATATTGGAGCCGTTTCTGATTTGTTTTAAATCTTAAAATTGCCTGTGTTTGAGGCAAGTTACACAAAAATCAACATATTTTTGTATTTGTTAAACATGTCCTTATTTTAAGATCTGTTTTTGATGAAATCATTTCATAAAAAAATTTATCTGCATTTTAGTAGTTGTAGGAAGACATCGAAACAATTTTGAACTTTTGCCATTTTTGGAAAATCAGGAATTTCCAGAAAAAAGAGACCTACACCATTGTCTTAAATCCAACAAAAAAATAATCTAACATTTTTTCCCATTTTTTGAAAATTTTAATCATGTACCGGAGGCTTGGTATGAAGTACCATATCCCAGATCGATTGGGGAATATAAGTTTTTGAGAAACTTGCCTGAACGATTTAGCCGCAGACGTTTATAGGCATACAGGCGGACAAATAGTCAGACGTTTGCCGTCAATCGATTTTTCGGTGACAAGGACTCTCAAAATATGGATACTGGCTACAACACCTTTTAGGGACTTTTTAAAAAATATTTAGTATTTGGACTTATCTACATTTTCATTACAAGGGCCCTATAATAAGAGTTTTTCTGCTGAAAATGCGCCGTTTTTTCGCGCAGCATTACTTAACTTTTTCTCTACTGCGTCAGCGATAGCCAGAAAGTAAAATAAAAAAATGGCACACTCGCATTTGGCATTCTGCAACGAGATGATTCGCTTGGCCCGGAGACGAATCGCAACCTACACCTCAGTATCGGTACACTTGCTGCGCCTGCAACCTGTGGCCAAGGTCACCATGGAACGTTCATTTCCCCGCTGGCAAATACTGGTCCTCCACGCTCCCGCTCACCACAGCCCCTTATAGGGCAGCGCTGCATTGGGAACGTAATGTTTTTCCCAGCAAATCTAGGACATAATTTCCTGCGTACCCGCGATTGTGTCATTCAGTTTGATTGATGTTTCCGGGCACATGTGATCATTAGCACTGTCAGTTTAGTGAATGTTTTATCGTTAAAGGTAGGGTTGTTCTTCCCCCTCTGGATGGTGAGATCCGTCGATCACAGACAAGTCGGTTTGCAGCGGCTTTTCTTACTTTCTCTACCGATGACTCAGTAATGCTGCTGGTGAATATTTGGCGGAAGAGCTCTTACAACAGTCCCCTGGTAATTAGATAAGTTAGTTAGATAAGTTTAGACAGTTTCTAAATTTAGAAAAAATATCTTCTCACATGTAGTGTAACCAGAATCCTTGTTTTGTATCTCCTTGATACCGAAAAATCAATTGCCGACAAAACATCTGTCCGTCCGTCTGTCCATCCGTTCGTCCGTTCGCTCATTCGTCCGTTCATATGTTCGTCCGTCCGTTCGTCCGTTCGTCCGTTCGTCCGTTCGTCCGTCCGTCCGTCCGTCCGTTCGTCCGTCCGTTCGTCCGTCCGTCCGTCCGTCCGTCCGTCCGTCCCTCCGTCCGTCTCTGCGTCCGTCAATCCGTCCGTCCGTCCGTTCGTCCGTCCGTCCGTCCGTCCGTCCGTCCGTCCGTCCCTCCGTCCGTCCCTGCGTCCGTCCCTCCGTCTGTCCCACTGTCCCTCCGTCTGTCCGTCCGTCCCTCCGTCTGTCCGTCCCTCTTTCTGTTCGTCCGTCCGTCCGTCCCTCCCTCCGTTCGTCCGTCCGTCCGTCCGTCCGTCCCTCCGTCCCTCCCTCCCTCACTCACCCCGTCCGTCCGTCCTTCCGTCTGTCCGTCTCTCCGTCCGTCCGTCCGTCCGTCTTTAAGCAATGCTACCGGTTAAACCGTTCAAGCAGATTTTCTCCAAAATTGAGATTCCCCAATCGATCTAACTGATTCGCGGCTCCTTGAATTTGTAATCGATATTTTAATTTTGGACTGTACTTCCAAAGAAGACCCTGGGACATTTTTTCAAATTTACAAAACATTGTCTCCGGTTTTTGTTTAAATTTTGTTGTTAGATAGTATGAAGGGCATTTAAGAGAATGGTGCAGGACTCATGTTGGTTGGAAACCCTAATTTTTTTAATATTGCTGAAGTTCTGCTTTCCCATACCTAAAACACTATAATACTATTGGAGATTTTCCCTTAAAAATAGGTCTTTTAAAGAAAGACTTAAATATGGTTTTCGAAAATTTGAGTACTTTTCGCTTAATAGTGTGCGGATGCGGAAATTCTCACGCTTAAGTTGGCGGCCTGAGACAGTTGGCTGCCTGCGGCCTGTTTGAATGTCCCGACAGCGACGAGTGAGGGTGTGAGGGCAGCAGACGGCTGCGGACCACTGGAAGGGGGAGTTTTAGGAAGACGCGCGGGCGGGCGGGCGGGCTGTTGCAATCGTGTGGCACCGACCCCTAGTAAAATATTTGTATTGTGTACACGATGTGAAAAGACTTGACCGGCGGAAAAGAGATTTGTGTGTATGGCGGAGGTTTGTGGGGGGAAATAGGAGAGGTACTTATATTGTAGAAATACAGTAATTAAATGTTATTGATGAAACGCATGTGTGTTTCATTGAAAGAACTTTCCTTCCAAAACGCCCTCCTAGAATAGTACAAACGAGAAAGTACGCGCTGTTTTAGCACCACTAGATTTTTATATGTCGCGTCTAGATTGGCGCAACGCATCCCCTCGCCTCTTGTCGAGCACTGAGTGCTTTGCCCATATGAGGAATCTTCCATAAAGTTTAATTTTGCCTGCCATTATAACTGTCAAGTCTCGTCACAGTCTGTTGTCAAAAGGACCTCCAGGTAGCATCTCCATGTACGAGCCTCTAACACTACGCGCTCTTGCGTCACTGTCCCACTAGTACTAGGAAGGAATTAGGACAGAGGTTGGGTTTCAACAAACACGTTTTCATGGAACAAATTTCTCATGAGATTGTCTGGGATTCGAATTCGGATCTCCTTGGTAAAAAACATGCGGCTTCCCGCTGTACTATTTCTTCTTCGGTTCGTTACAGTATGACATTTTAAGTGGTATTTTTAGCATGGGGTATTCTCTGATACTCGTGAATGACAATACCCTAGTGTGTTCGACTAATGTATTAATTATAATCGACTGATCAGGTATCTGTGTGTGAGATGTGAGATCAATCTGTTTATGTGTGTAAATGAAATGTATTCCTATCCACAGAACAATTATACAAGCATCAAGATAGTTTGCAGGCTAGAATATGCACACACGTATTGTTGGGGCAGCCTGACAGGCCGCACTGAGTCCAATATGGTGACATGGACAGTTGTGTGTCAGTACCGCAAACTTATGACCCCCAGGGTTTACAACCCAACCCGCGATATTCAGAGATGGATATTTCAAATGAACTGCACTGCAGAATTGATACACAATTACTTTTTTCCTATTCTTTGTTCATTTTCTAAGTTTTGACCTCCGGATATAATACATTATTCTTCATAAGTGATCAATTCACCACAAATTATATGCATTTAACACATAAGTATAATAATTATTTTGTACTAAAAATATATTTTTGAAAATTCTGATGTATTATGAATAGTTGGAAGACCTATTGGGGTAATTCGTATTACAATGAAACAAGTTGGTTGTATTTTCGATTTTATATTTATTAGTGCAATAATACGCATATACAATAATTGTGTGCATGTAGGTGTATGTATGCATGCGCGTACGTAAAGGTACAGAACGGATATGGGCCTATGGGGCCACCCCGATGAGATTTTCGTATATGCGAGTTACCTCTTCATTGATATTTCTCCATAGGAAGGCGTTAGGTATTGTGGGATACTCTGGTAGGTTTTTAGGTGCCGATGAATGTCTCCTGGGAAGAGGACGTGGGAATACTCAAAAGAAAATAGAAAATTGACTAGTACGAGAAAACTATTTTGTTAAAGCTCTACCTTCATTACATTTGAAGATTCTTTTCTATTTTTTGTTAATTGAGTTAATTGCAGAACATGTAAATAATTTCTAATTCAGATCTAGATTTAATTTCCCCAAACCGTGTTGTACATTTTCTCATCGGGAATATTATCACTATTTAAATTTGTAATATTAATACATTATCGAGTTTGTTGTGAACATTTTTTTGGGGAAGAGATGTAACACTTGTTCTCACTTCGTCATTATGATATAAAATTAAAGGAGATAAAACGTATAGGAGGAAGGAAATGAAAAAAAAGTGTAGCTGAAAGCGATTTATTTCCTCTATCATTACAAATATCTGTAATATCATTACATGGATATAAACAATGTTTTTAAAATATGCTCTTACAGTGTCACCAGGATTTTTTTACTGGCAGTCATCGAGATCATAATTAACATTTTCCTTGATAGAGGACTACGAAATTTTCGCATTTCTTCATTTTTATATAAAATTATAGGAGATGAAACGCATCAATTTCAGATAAAAATGTTTACTAGATAGATATTTGTTGCCATTATAATTATAAGTATTTATAAGAGCATTATATATATCTAAAAACTTATTTTGTAAGTATTCTCTGACAGGGACGCCAAGAAGTACTTTCCAGGCAATTAACTTGAAGGGGGCAGAAAGACGTCATCCATTGCAACCCTGTCGAAGATTCGGCGCGAATATTCTTTGAAGGTGTAACTGAAAATTTCCTCCAGGGGAGTCTCCAGCATATCCCAAATATCTTTCCAGTTCTCATTGACAAGGTTATTGATGGTGTTTCCTGTAACAGAAAACAAATATCCAAAAATCTATACATATGTGAACAGGTGGTTGTGTGTTTGTTTCAAAAATGCATTAGTTACGTAATCTGTATTTAAAAATGTTTTCATTACAATAATAATGAATTAAAATTGTAGGTTACTTTCCAATTTGAAATAAAAAATGAGAACATGTCCTATTCGACTTCAATGCGTTTTAAAAAGCACATTCTACAGGGTTAGATCTGTAATGATGCGGTATTTTACAAAGCATTCTCATGTAAATTACTTGCCATAATTGTTCAGTGGCTTTCCTTTCGATAGGTCATGTGTCTATGTTTTTGCCAGCAGTTATTACTGCTAGCTAGACACGTGCAAGCATTCCGAACTTTGTAAGTAATTGCTTCAAATGTAAAATTTCTGAATACGAATACGGGCACCTGTCTCCTGACCCATATATTGAGTATTATAATAGCTCTGTTATGATACACGTCAATTTAATTGTATCTACATTTCGAGTTTCTGCACTTTTCAGATCACTTTTTTTTTGTTATTTAAGGTCGCATCAACATCTAGGTCATTAGCGCTCGCTATTGCGTGTAACGGTATGGTAACTAAGAGGATGACTCGATATGATGATGATGATGGGCGTGAAAGGACGAACACAATACAACCATGCCCGAGGTGGAACTCGAACCCGCAATCCTTCGGTCAGAGATCGCTACGGCACTACTGCCTTCTCGGCCATCCTTACCGTGACATTCAGTTTTGTGAAACATTTTTCAGCTTTGTTTTAGCAGAGTTTTAGAAAATTTAATCATTTCCGTTACTCTTACTATGTTATTACCAATTTAATCAATAATACATAATTTGTATGCTTACCAAGAGCCTTGTCACCGTTGAAGAGGTTGTCAAACTGCATATCCATTTTCCCGAGATTAGTAACTTCGAAGATAAAATCTTTAATTTTCATGTAATCTCTATTCTTCTTCTGATATCTTTCTCCATTAATACTAATGTTTGCTTCCAAATTTGCTGAAAATGTATCAAATAAACAATACATGAAGAATAAAATTAATTAACATATCCATAATATAAAATAATAAATATTAATATTGTAAGTTATGTAATTCTTTGGTATTACATTAAATATGATCAACGTAAATAATTAAATTATTTAAAATAATTTAAATGTTTTTGAATTCCAAATTTAAAATGGTGAGATTTTTAAATGTTTTACTGCCAATTCTAAGTCACATCACTTTGTGTAGGAAGTTTGAAAATTCATATTTACTCACTTAAATTAAGGTTTCCTCTGCCGTCGCCCTTTGCGGGAATAAGTAGAATTCGCCCGTCCATTATGTAGTTGGCTTCAGCGTAGACTTTACCCACATGTACATGGGAGCTTATGCGCAAGGTTTCGTAATCAAATCTGGAATAAATATGTCATTGGATCAATTGAACATTGAAGTATTCGTACTCTTGTGTCGGTGTTGTTAATTTAAATGGTACTGCTCTTTTGCACAGGAAACTTTGAACTTTAGAGAAACTTTATTGGTAATCAGAATCACTTTTACGTAGGTATGCAATAATTTATACAAATCGGTGGTAATGTTAATATTAACGGGATGAGAGATATGTCAAAAATAACATTTGTATAATTGAAAAAAGATTGACTGTTAGTGATACCTGGGACTTTAGCTACAAAGGTCATTTGCCCGTTAGTGTAGTGCATGGATTTGCTCTTTTTTTGCGAGGTCCGGTGCCGACTTGCCGCGATGTTTCTCAACCAGGACAAGTTCCAGCGCATACCGGTCTCCCGGCATGCGCGGTAGTGTAGAGCATGTTACTGCGTGTGTAAGGGGCGAGGATAGGACAAGTAAGAAGAAAGTAAGATCGCGAGCGATCCGTTTGTTAGGGTAACGCTCCGGCATTCGCCTGGCATTGATCGCAGGAACCATGGAAATCTACCAATCAGAGCATCCGGCCGCTAGAATTATCCTTCAGATAGCGACTCAATTCGATCTAGCTGATAAGCTAGGACGCGAACCTAGGACCTCAGGTACTGAAGGACTACAGGTACATCAGTTGATGCATTGAGCCGTCTCGTCCGGTACAAAAGAATATATCAATACTCATTTATATTTTGCTATTTACTTCATTCAGCACTATCCGTTTAAAATATTCGAAGAAAAAAATTGGAATAGTTTTCGAGAAAATAGCGATTGATCGATTTTTAAAAAACGCCAAAGTTTGAGTTAATTTTTACAGAGAAATTAGGTATTTTCAAGAACCTTTATAAGACCTTATTTAAAGCATTTGTTCTGATAAATGTAATGTTGTGAACAAATCGGTGGTTATGTACATATTAACGATGTTAGAGAGAAGTAAAATAAAGGTTTTGTTACGTTCAAAAACGAAACCAAAACAGGTGACGTTTAAGTCATCTATTGCAGTACATTTAGCACCATATTCACCAAATGTTTATAAAAAAATAGGAGCAGTTTTTTGAAAAATTGCTGTTTCTAATACTTTTTAATATTGCACTTCACTCAATATTGCGGGAGAACTATTAATATTTTAAGAAATTCTTTTTGACGTTTGGATTGTTTTTGACGAAATAAATAAATATTAAATTGAGAAAATGTTGTTATGGTTTCATGTAAATTATCCCATAATCAAAATATCTTAGTGAGAGAGGTTTTGGTTCCTTTAAATCGATCCATGAATATCAATTTAGAAAATATCGGCTGAACGATTTAGGTGATAGCCTTGACCACAGACTTACAAAGTCATTTGCTGTCAATATTTGAATAAATAAAGGATGATTCGGACTACACAACGTGTTAGGAAAAGTAATTTACTATACACAGATACAAAATTTATCCATTTTTGCGTTAATAGGTCCGGCAGTAAGAGTTCCTTTCGAAGTAAGAGGGAGAAATACAAATATGCGTTGTTTTAGTGCTTAAAACTGATCATTCCACGAAACGTATTTTGAGTAGTACATCATATGTGGAATGATGCCGCAAAATAAGTAATATTGCCAAATCTACCAAAAGTGCACGCCTCACCATTAAGTGATAGAGAAGTGCAGGAACCATAATTTTACATGGAAACGGATGGCAGATCTCACAATTTAAAACTGATAACGTGAATAATTACGTTAGCGATGTTTTAATCGATTTACCTATTTAAGTAATGTAAAAAATTTCGTTTAATTAATGTTCAAATTTTCACTTATAACTTAAGTGCAATCTCAGAAATTTGGTAGTGTTCAATGTACTAAATCTCAGTTTCTAATTTTTCAGGTATTTCAAAAAGCAAGAAAATATTTCTTGATTTATTTCTTTTCTTTACTTACACTATATTTGTAAATTGGGCTGTAGAAAGGTTGTAAACGTTAATATCAGAAAAGTTGATATGTAAGTTTACAGGGGCGTCAGTGTTTGAATCTCCAATAACCAACTGCGGGATCTTAAAAGGCTCCAAAGTAGGAATTCCGAAGTCAGCGAGACCTGCAATAAATTACATTGCTATAATACATTTCTGTATTGTTAATGCGGTAACCCTTTAGAAGAGAAGCATACATTCTCGATACAAAGTTCATAGTGCACATATTGACACAGTATTTACACAGCCAGGAAATGTATCAAAATACATTCCATAGTACTGAAAGTACCTTTAGTACTCTTGCCAAACGACTTTAAGGTACTATTCAAGCACTTCATTCAACTGTTCTATCCGTACCAGCATTTTACCGAGGACATCATTTTAGTGAGTCTTTGTCGTTGAAAACGTTTTCTGTTAAAATGCATACTACATTTTGATTTACGCAAATTCAAAAATGCTATTTTTTCATACAGTTCTGTAGATTATTTTAGCACTAAATCTAAAGTAGCTGCTGTCGCGTGTTTGAAAATATGTGGTGTAGTTCCTATTAAAGAGTTGAAAACGACAAGTGGTCAGTAAATTAAGGTTTCAAATAGATTGTACATCGGTGGACAAAAGTGACATTCCAAGACACGACGAGATTTCTAGACTCGTTCTATCGGCCTCCGCCGAGATTTCGCGTGTCTAGTCATGAAAATATTGAATAATTGCCTTTCCTTCTTATGTAATGGGACGAAATGTAAATTACTATTTTCATAAATGAAAAACATATCATATAAATAATTAATAATTGTTAATAATGATATTTTTAATATTCTTTCTAAACAAATATTTTTGTACTTTAAAATAATACTTGCAAGCTGGACTTCAATATGACTGTATGTTAATCTAATATTGAAAATATCTCTTGCCTGATCGTAGATGTTCAATAGCCACTTGTAGTGCTCCTTCCAAGCAGGAAATAAAATTATCATCCCTCTTGCAGAGTTTATAGTCAGGAGCTGAAACATAAAAGAGTGAACATAAGAATAGCCCTTTTGCAGGATTTTCTTTAGGTGTTGTTTGAACAACACAAGAATAAAAGGTAGTGTATTCAGAAATCAAATGAAGGGCATGAGGAAAATTGCCATTGCAGAAATATTCAGTGGCTAAAAAATAATTTGTTGATCTATCTCTCTATCTATATCTATCAATCTATCTACATAGGTTTGGATTTTTTGCTGATAAATTTTGTTTATATGCAATTTATTTCAACAGAAATATTACAAAAATGGTTTAATAATAATATTTACATGAGTGAAAATGTTACACAACAGTAACATTTCTATTTAAACTAATCAATATGTTATATTTAGCGGTTGTATCTAGCTGTAGACTTCTTGTTTCTTCACTATTGTCTAATATATTAATAGCGAGGTTATTTGGATAATTTTACTGTCTTGTTTAGTATTTCTGATTGAATAAAGTTAATTTGTTTTTAGGTTTCTTCTTATGGTTTTGATTTGAAGGATGCGTTTGTTACTGATCGAAAATATTTGAACTGAAATCGCTGAAGAATTACGATGTATGAGACGCTGGTTGAGCCCCAAAGTTGAATGCCATAGGTCCATGTAGGTTGTAGGATACTTATATATATATATATATACGTATTTTGTTTGAAAGTAACAGTTCGGAATGTTTACCTATTAGCCATTGGTAGTTTTTAATTTTTAATTCTAGTTCTTTTCTTTTTATGTGATCCTGCTACGTTAATAAGTATTTAACTCATTACTTTGAGGGATATGTTTATTGTTTATTGTTATTGCTGGACATTCGCCTTTTCGTAGAGCGAAGGTTACATGTTTAGATTTTAGTTAGTTTATTCTAATGGACTAACGAGAAAGCCACTGGTTTATTGTTGTAAGTGGTTTTCTAGCGCTTCTGATGCTACTTTGCGATCTTTGCTGAATGATAGTGCTGCCGTATCGGCGATTGGGGCTGTTCAACATTGTTTGATGTTGGTATATCATTAGTAAATAGGAGATAAAATATAGGACGCAACATACTTCCTTGGGGGACTCCTGCTTCTATTGGTCGAAATGAGGACAAGGCTGTTTTATATTTTACTTGGAATAATCTATTTGTTAAATGCGATTTGACAAGAGTGAAGACATTAGATGAACATATTTTCTTGATTTTATACAGCAGCCTTTGATGCCATATTTTGTCAAAGACTTGTGTCACATCTAGAAATTCGGCTGAGCAGTTAATACCGCTGAGCTATTCTTAATTTTTTTCAAAGTCTTCGTTGAACATGTTTACTATTCTGTGAACTTAATCAGTTGTTGAATGTTTTTGTCAAAATCCAAATTGATGGTCTGGAATCAAGTCGTTTTCATTTAAGATTGGTAAAATTTGTTTCTGGATGAGTTTCTCAAGCACTTTCGGGAGAAGTGGTAACATGGCGATGGGTCTGTAGGAAATGAAATGATGGGTCCCCTCAGATTTGAGAAAAACTATAATTTGCGCCATTTTCTACCGAGGAGGTAAGTAGGACATTCTTAGTATTACAATAAATTTTGATGAAATAAGATGTTGATAAATATTGAAATAATGTTTGGATACTAGTTCTTCTTTACTTCTACAACTAATGAAAAAATTTGGTGCCGTTTTTCGTAAAAAAGTATTTGTTTCAAAATTGCCTATGTTTACCGCAAAAGCTACTTTATTTTTTAAAAATATGTACACGACTTTTATTTGAAGATCTACTTTTTATTAACAATTTCAGTAAGGAACGTTACCGCATTCCGTTCGCTTTTTATTTCAATTTAGCGCCAAACCTCTAATAAACAATCATAATCTCTTTTTGGCACAAATTCGGGCTAAGCTTTTGCATTTTTGCACTTTTAACCATTGCGCGTTGGAGATTGTTTCATTTCTGTCTAAAATCTGCGAACCTAATTGCAGAGCGCAAAACACGCGAAGTAACCTTTTTGCATTTACCTTATGTTACTAAATGAAAAGAGTTCTCCCAGAGGTTTTCAGCCCAGCAGCAGTACAAATGCGATACGTCCCGCTTGACCTCCAGGGTGTGTGTGTGTGGCAGCTCTGTTACTGATTTCTCTTACTGAGGCAAGCTTAACCTCGGTGATTCCCACTAAAGCCGCTGTACGAGAATGAGCTTGGGCCTCGGCGACATTTCGGGTAAACCTTTCTCCCACGCCATGTGTTGAGGAGGAATTCTTTGTATGAGAACTGGTTAAAAAGTTCCACTGTTATCACAAATTTTTGAGGGACACGCCGGAATGCCTTCGGTTTATTTATAAGAGTCAGACTAGGTTTCTATGTTTGCCAAAGAGAGCCGGCCTTCTTTCTACGTGTGACATACGAAGTTCTCTTATATTCATTGTGAATTCAATTAAAAAATAATCCCTTTCTGCCTAACACACTGCACTACGAAACCAAAGGGTTACTAAGAATTTAAAAAAAACAGCATCTTTATCCCATCCTAGATCAGGATGACATCATTCGCGTAGGTAGTAGACTGAGACACTCACTAATTCCTAGAGAGGCAAAAACCAAATCTTACTCCTTCGAGAGCACACAAGAGCTCTTCTCGGACTTTCACAAGAGACCCTATTGCTATGTTACATATACCTTATTCATGTTCATGATGGATGACAGTTGAACCAGACTACGGTTTTGGGCCCCGTTTATTTGAAAGCTAATAAATTGTGTAATTCAACACTGTTAGTCTTGAATCAAGTGGAGTGTAAAGCCGACCTCTCAAATAATGACTGCCCTTCCTGCCTTAAGAATTAGGCAGTAAAGCCATGAGAGTTCACCTCAGTGGATTGTTGTGGATCTTTCCTAACAAAACCTGTCATCGGTAGGAGCAGACAAGTTGCAAATTCTAGAGAGCTGAGTTTGTGTCATTCTACCAAGGCACTACACTTAGACGTAATGAAAAATCAAAAATCAAATGAATTTATAGCCATTCTAAAACAATTTGGTTCCTGCAGGTTATACGAGTACCCCAGAGTAATTTATAGCGATAATCAAGAACATTTGTAAAAGCCACAAACCAGTTGGCTCAACTGCCCAACCTTTTCAGCACGAGTCAGGAGCAGTCGAACCTCGAAAACTGTCTTGCTATACACAGATAGGAGCAGCAATTCAATCCTCAACATTCACCATTTCGCAATGGAGGCAGCCGTAGGATCTTTGAAGTTACATTTAAAACTCTCTATTGGGCAAAACTGTATATCACTCTCGCACACTTTTGTTTTTACTCGGATGGAACACATCTTGAACTCACGGCCCCTCGCCGTCTCAGAGAAGGACGAAACCTTCAAATTAATCCCAAATCACTTACGAATATGGTCACTCGCTTACTTCATTGACCTTTTTAGTTTTTTTAAATTTAAGGTCGCTACAGCCAAACCATTAGCGACCACTATAGGTAAACGATGCACTATAAATAACCCTGGCATTACTAAATGAATATATTAGAATAATTATAATATCTGTTTTTAATTATTGAAACATCACATGTTCACTTTCGGGCATTTTAAATTTTTTTATCAAATGTATTTCTTTAATTTTTTTATCAAATATGTTTTATCAATGTAAATCTTGAATGTACGTCTATTTTGTGACGAAATATATGTCCCAGTCCTTTCTAGGCGGATTAATGGTGACTGATGCACATGGCCAGGACGTATGCTGTTACAATTCTAAATCGGCCAGGAGGATGTGTGTTCGAAATGTAAAGCGTTAAAATTAAAAAAAATAATTCCATCCTGTCAGAAAATCAGAAAAGAGCAGTTGTGGATGAAAAATTTTTACGTTTAAAAAGAGCCAAAAAAGTTTATGCTAAACTGAAATAATTAGAAAATGTATGCAAAAGGAATGAATTTGCAAAGGTGCATGATCATCGATTTCATGCAACATTTACTGCCACGCGTACCAGTGCAAGGAGTACTTTACTGTAGACAGCTCTGGGTAAGTTGTTTTTGGTATTCAAGAGTTGAATAGTGGAAAATATATTTATATGTACCATGAAGGTATATACAAAAAAGGGCCGAATGAAGTTGTTAGTTTCATTTATAATTCAATATTATTATGGGATACTACTGGAGTAAAAGGCGATTAACTTGATGTTGAAAACAGTTCAACACTTGTCAGGTATGACCTTGAGACCAACACAAAAATTGTGTATTCTATCAATACCCCCGACGCCCCCCCCCCCCCAAACAATATCTTTTGTTTCAGGCTTCTTTATTAAACTAGATGTGTTACAACATCACGTACGGTCTGGGAATATTTGTAACGCTTACATAATATGCATTTACATTGAAACATTACATTTCATTACATTTTAACCTTTTGCTGGTCTTATGTCCGTGTGTGAACAACACTAGAGCCTAAACCGTATTCATTTTTGCATAGGTATGTCGACGCGTGCTTGGAAAATTGTTGATACATCTTTGAGTTGAGAAGCGACCAGAGGACATATCTGAGAATTTTCAAAGCACGAGTGGGATTTTAAAGGACTATTTCACAAATGAAATTTCAATTTAAGAATCCGGTGCATTAATACACATTGTGTGAGATAATCTGGTATGTACATATTTTCAATTATATCAATTCTTGTGTACTTCGACCTCCATTCCCTGTTACGTATGCAAGGCCGTCAGAACACGAAAACACGAAATACATGTATTTTTTAAAAATATCATTAACATTATATCACATATTTAACACACAACAATCAAAATTAAAAGTATGTAACGAATACATGTAATAAAAACAAGAAATATGGGTTTATTTTATTTCAGTCCTTGAAAATGTTTGCATTTACTTGACTCGGATGTAACTTTTCCTAATATATACCTTCAGTCCTCGCAGAAATTTTCGAACTGTTTCCAAACATATTTTCTACTTTAATTCTCTTTCTCTTAATTCTCTGGAATAGGTTGTCAAATAATACTGACTTATTTATCTGACTCCTCACCAAATATTTTGCCAATTCAACTGTTTTAGTTTCAACTGTTTCAAAAAGGCAATGAAAAAGCGCGCGTTATTGCAAATCGACGCAGGGATCGATCCCTACAGCCTTCTGAGACAGAAGAATCACAGCTTATGATTGAGTATTAAGGAGGGGTAATTAAAATCGAATAAGAAAACGAATAATTGTTTTGTGAATAATTGCGGTGATTTGTTAATATTGTATGTATTCTTAAACACTATTAGTCCCAATTTTGTGAGAGAAATAGTCACAAAAGTTGATCTTCGCCGACCGTTTTCACAGATGTGAGGGCTCTTTGAATTTGAATAGATATTTTCAATTTCAGGGCTCTTGACATGAAGCACCAACGACATTTCCAAAATTTTCTATAAAAAGGCTGCATACTTCTTTGAATTTTTGCTTTTAAACAGAAAAAGCGTATAAAATATCGATTTTTGTTGAGTTTCGTTTTATGAAGTTTAACATTATCACGAACCTCTACACCAACTGCATTCTTGACGGTAAGCTTTTATTATTAGTGTTTTTCAAAATATGATTTGTACATATAGCATGAACAATTTTTTCAATATATGTGAGGAGTTTTCATTATTTTGAGTGCAAGAAACGCAATTAGAAAGTATGTAACCGATATGTTAACGAAGAATTATTTTTTCCAAATAAAGAGAAGTTTCTGTAATAAGACGGAGTACGTGATGTTCAAATTAAAAGATTGAAAGTTTTGAATAGTTATTTTTAATCTTCTTTTAGAACTTTAGTTTTAAAGCTAAAGGTTTCTTATTACTGCAATATATTCGTGAATACTAGATCCTCAAATAATTATACATACATTATTTTCAAATTTTTAGATGTTTTACCGTAAAATTATATTTATTAATGAAAAGGTTTAAAGTATCCTGTCGTTACATTTTAATATTGAACACAATCATTTCTTTTGCAATGAAATTTAGTTCTCAATATTAGATCTGCAAATAATGATAAGCAGTTTTTAATAATATAACTGGTTCTAAAGTTTTGAGGAAGAAATTCTGAAATGCCAAATCAAACAAAACCATCAGAATAGTACCGTCTTTGCAGTTTCAGATGCCTGACCTTCTATGTTCTTCAAGGCATGAAAGTGTTAGAAGATTCTAGGACTAAAAGTTAACGACTCAGACGTGTGATTAATAGAATTGTTCTAGATAAAAATATCAAGAAACATTTTTTCTTAAACGTCTTTCCTTGAGTAGACAAAAGTATGCTTATAAACACGGTATAAGTCCGATTATCACTAAACCTGAGAACTCTGCATAATTGCCAATTCGAATAACTCGCGCTTCTGTTACTGAATTAATAGACCGCGAGATGCAATATTATAAAAAGAACATTACTGATAATGAGAGGTTATGTGCTGTTGGGGCATTTCTGACTTCCGCGTACTTGCGACTTATAATTGTGTCCTTGGCTCAGTTCATATCAGTCCTTAAAGAGCAACTCTTCGAACGCATCTACTTGAAATAATTTTTTTTGTCACTGTATGAAACGAAAATTTTGATTAATGAACGCTTGTATGAGAGGCGGTGTCTCCTGAGTTACAGATTTGTGCGATCACCATTTTCACTCCTTTCATTGATTCACAACTTCAATGAGTATTTTGAGGTTTGCAATCGCGTCAACAAACTGAGCTGTGGTTAGTTGCTTGTGCGCGCACACCTCACAAGATTGTGTCCAGAGACACGATTGTTATGCCGAACCCTTTTATTAGTGTGACTGCGAAACTGGTTGCGGCCAGCGCATGGAGAAAAGGATGTGTTTAAAAGAATGTATTTATTGCTGTTAATTCTACTGTCTGTGATGGTAAACGTAAGATTGCAAGAAACAACGAAACGTCGGTTGATTATCTACATACGTAAAATTATAGCATTCGCACTACATAAACTCTATTTATTTCATTGATGCCAACCGGCTTAACTGGCAACGAGGTATCAACTGACGTCACGACAGAGCTTCCGGTCGGGACGTCCTAGAATTTTCGGTGGCAGGATTTTCGACCATAGCCACATAGCTAGGAGGATGATCCTAGCAACCGGCTGCTCTGATCGGTAGTTTTCCCTCTTTTTTCCGACCAACACCAGGAGAATCCCGGAACATAACCTTAACAAACTACGTTATCGACTTCGTGCGATCTTTCCTTCCTCTTCCTTGTTCCATCCTCACCCCTTACTTACACTTACACTCACATGCACTGCACTACCACACTTCTCGGAAGACCGGTCGGGAGCTTCGAGCTTGTGCCGGTGGGGGCGGTGCCCCGCTGGTGGGAGACACCTGGCAAGCTGACGGGAAGGTCGTCGCCACATCCAGCGGGGGAAGACTACCGGTATCTCACACGAGAGAAACAGCAACTAGGCCTACATTTTTCGGACTAATGACCTTAGCAGTGAACGCACCCGGAATTACTAATCTATCAAACATTGACGCCACAACGTCCATTCCGGGGAATGCCGGAAACCACTTTTTAGGAACCAAGGACTCACGAATGTCATCTACTACATTCAAAATAAAGAAAAACTTACAGTTTTTCCACCTGATACCTCCGAAAAGATATTTTCTCTCGAAAAATTGCCACTCTTTCTTGAAGCATTACGACAATTCGCATTGCGAAGTAGAATACGAGATAGTATAAATGGGTTTTTGGCATCGTTGACCCTAAAATCGTGCATTTCGTAGAAAACTCGTCTCAGATACTTTCAGCATTACAGTACCTCCTGTATCTACATATACTCGTACGAGAAAATAAAAAGTAACATTTAATAAGTTTCACGGAGAATTATAGAGTAAATGTTAAAAACTAACGTAAAAATTCTGATCAACGTTGTCTACCTCTGTCGTCGCAAACGAGTTGAAGACGAACCAGATTGCAAGCCCAATAGAAAACGAGGTAGAAACCGAACCCGACGCCCAGCCGGGGAGCTGTACTCACGCAGCTTGTTGGGGGCTGCCGTCGCCAGGTCTGCTACGAGCAGCAGTGCTGCTGCTACGAGGGCGAAAAACCGGACGAGTGGAGCCATCTTCGTGTCCGTGGTGCGCCGTATGAAGTGCTGGCCGAATGGCGAGAGCGCGGTTTTTAAGAAGCCGCCTAACCCTGCCCTCGCCCCCACCGCCATCCCCCGCTTCCGGGCAACCTGCCCCCCTCCCCCCCGCGCCGCCACCGGGCCACCTCGTGCTTGGCGAAGGTCGCGGTTGCGAGCCGGCGAAGTTTTCGGCAACAGTCAGGGAACTTCACGGGTGGGCGAAGGCTTCCGGACTTGGCCTCTGAGGCACTCTGGCGGTCTGCCAATTCGGCGGCTGTGAAAATGGAGGGTTTTATTTCAACGAGTCTAAACTGTACCACTGTGCTTGAACGTCTTTTTCTAACATTGTATTTCTTGATCTGATCCGCCTATCGTATGTTTCTTGAAAGCTGGTTCTTCTATCAAGAAATTGCCTAATACTCTTTCTCATTGTTTCATCACTCCTTATCATTCAACCACAAATCTCTTGATGTTGGCGAAGAATTTGATCTCTTTTTGGCAAATTTTTGCGTTCAAAAATGATCTTTAGAAGTAGCTGTCTTCAGTGGTGGTATCGTTCTTTGAACACAGAATGTTTGTTGTAGAAATGTTTGTTCTCGCTTTCATAAATGTCTGATCAATTGTGACAATTACGTAAAAAAATAGTTTAAAAAACGCTGTTTCGTGTAAAAATAAATATTGATTGAAAAAAACAATTTTTCCTGAGTTGTTTTTTTCCAAACGGGTTCTTACTTTCCGAAAAGTCTTGTAAATGGTGCAAGTTCCCTATGATCGTGAAGGGTTAGAATTAGCAATGATACACTTTCTTGTTCGCAAACATTTCATTATTACCTACTGTAGGTGCTCATTGTTAAAAGACTCCACTGGTTTGTGTTAAAGGCAAATAGTTCCCCCTCCTCCGTTTTGAAAAATATTATGAATTGTATACTTTGGGAATCCTGCTGCCTAACAGGGCCGGATCAACTCTTGTGGGGAGCCCCGGGGGCTTCATGAGGGAATTAAGTCTATTATCGATCTCGATTTTTACTTAAGGACGTAAAATTCTAAATATGACTCTCCACTCAGAAAGTGATGCCAAATAATTTTATTTAAAATATTGATGAGGGATACGCTATCCGAGAAAATACAGTACTTAACTGTGGATATTGGGGCTCTGTAGTAAAACACAATCCACCCAAAAAACGTACTTTTTTATTTTCTCTTTATATACTCAAATAAAAGCAGACAAGACCTCAATTAAAGAATATTTTTGTGAGCTATAACTCATCATAAACATAATTTTGTTTACAAAAGCAAATTTTTATGAGTTGTTTTTCCAAAACGGTTCTTACTTTCCGAACCCGTCTCGTAAAACATTTGTGCAAGTTCCTTATGATCATCACACCATTGTAACATTAATTACAAACAAAAATATGAAATATAACAATGATTTTTAATCACTGACGGGCTCATAATGTTTATTGTGTATGTATAAGAACTGGAAACACCCTGGCAATTTGAAGAATACTACATATGATGTATTTACATTTTCAAGAAAAACAATACAAAAACGTAGATTTTTTAAAAATATATTTCCAGAATTGTATTGAAGGAACCATACTATTTATATTTTTTGTCACACGTGAAAGCATAATGCTTGTAAATTCTCCAATGATACATGTGAATACCATGAACTAATAATGAAGTATTTGTTTTCAAAGTAGAAATTCTAATTTATTCATGCAGAGGGTAGAAATTAGTTACTTCAGTGGAATGTTCTTATAATATTTATGAAATATTTCTTGACATAAATTCAATTTCAGCACCCCTTGATATGTCGATTTGTTCATTTTCCTCAAACATTACTTACAAAACGATAATTTGGGTTTTACTGAGATGCTCCTTTTTTGGAATGATCTTTTTTACATAATTTGAACACCAGTCTATAATCAGCGTAGCCTTCATCAGCAGAAGGATTAATCTACTACATCTCCATTTCAAATTTCGTATATCATGTGAATATGAATATTTTATTTTTGCATTTACCATGCAATAAAACGTTAGCCTGTAATTCTGCGCACTGTGTGCATGCTAATTTACATAATATTTCACTAGACGCCTGGTGAGCACAAATAATTAAAACTTTACTTCAAGAAACTTAAAGATATTATTTTTCTTCGTAACAGTAACGATAATTTTCTGTATATTCTTGCACCTGTTATCCTTTAGTTATAAAAGAAAAGTGCTTACTTAAGAAAACGTTTCTAGAACCTTTTTTTTCAATTATTGTTCAATAGCTGTCAATAGCTATAGTCTTTGAAGCCCGCGTTGCTGATTTCTTGGGAATGTATGTCTATTATTGTTAATTGGCTTTGGCATAATGCCAAAGTGTACAATTTTAACAGTCGCCCAATTCAAATACGTATAATTCAAATACTCATTTAATTCAGTGGGGATCAATGTTCTAAGCCCCAACCACCACTTCACTTCCCCAATTCTACAGCGGTGATCAAGTTTGAGGTCGCACTAAGAGAGGAGGGAATAATAGCAGTGAATTTCTAAGTGATGACTCATCGAGCAATGAAATTAGCGTTCAGTCTCTCAAATCTCGCCGATGATAATCGGACGATAGTGCACACCGTAGCGGGCAGCAATATCGATATTCTGCGCATCTTCAAATACACTAAAAAAATGCAAAACTTCAAGTGTGCATGCGCGGAAGATCGATAGGGTTTTTACGTTCGAGAGTGCACAAACTCTTGTGGCAATCTTACTGACCCAGGAAAGGAATCAGGACAAGAAGGGACTGCCAATACAAAGTTCACAGAACGCGCCGCGACGCTTTTCGTTTTCCCAAAGGCAAGGAAGAAAAGCACAGCATGAGCTGTTCCGAGAAATTCAACTCAAGAAACATGACGCGCAGGGCAGCCTATCACAGATCTTCGCACGTGAATATAACGTGACTCGTGCACGCAGACTCGAGTTCAGTAAAGATCGGCAGAGAGTATAAAACTATCCAAAAGTTGATATCTGGAAAGATGGTCTTCGGATGATTGAGCTATTATGAAGCGAAGTTTGTGTCAATATAATTGCTTGGAGCAAGGGTTCGGGAATATCGAATCGCATTTTTGAACTCGTTCTCGATGCATTGATCTTGATCTCGATTCTCGGGTTTTCGTGAGCTGCGGTCTCGTGAAGAACGAGAGAGATTATATGCCATTTATCCGCCGTTTCCATAACCTTTATCTTCCTTTTTTTCTGTTTTTTGTTTTGAGCATCATTTGCGTGTGTGCAAAATTTCCGAGGGCCCCGGAGCGGACGAAGAGACTACTCCAAGTGTTTCTGACCGGGAGGTTCTAGGATTGAGTCCCGACGGTGGCAGGATTCTAGATACTAGCTTTTCAGCTCGGTCGAATTTAGTCGCTGTCTGCAGGAGAAAAATCAATTTTCATAGAAAATAAGAAGTCTTCGAAATTCACAGAGTGCAATAGATACTTACCTCCGGAAGTCATTACACATTTTATTGGCAATGATAATTTATTTGGTACCATTCATTCAAGGAGACGTTAACGGGACACTCTGACAGTCCATTCCGAGGCGAAGGTTACAGAAAGTAAGGGGAACGGTTATGCCGCGCTGCCTCGTCATTTCTTCCAGGAGAGGTACCCACTGCAACAATGTCCAAATCGAAAGACATTATTACGTCTCCATCGCCGTATGTGCGAAAATGGAAAATTTAACTCCTCTGGTTTGGGGAGGGGACGACGACGATCTACAACTCCAGCTGTAGAGGAGGAGATTTTGGACGCTATAGACAAGATTCTTTCTATCAGCACACGTAGGTTATCATAACTGGTAATATAAACATATTAATTGTAACAGAACTGGTAATAATAACGCATTAGCGTTGAAAGTGGAAGTTCCTTACACGACTGTCTGGAGAGCATTGAAAGAGTTTAAGATGTACCCTTAGCATTTGCAACGTGTAAAGGCCCTGTCACCAGCAGATTACCCTGCATGAGTGAGGGTAAGTCAGTAGTTGTTGCAGCAGTGTGGTGCAAATCCGCACTTCTCTTAGTAATATTTACCGAAGAAGACCAGTTCACATGAGATGACATTACAAATTTCCACAATCAGCATGAATGGGCATATGTAAAATTCACGTGCAACTGTTTCATCTCAATGCCAGGTGTGGTTCTCCCTCAGCATGTGTGCCGATATCATTGGTGATAGATTAGTTGGATTCGATTAGTACTTGTGAACAGATTTACGGGGAGGGCATATGCAAACTTCCTGGAGAACACCATGTTTATGAAGACACTCCACTGATCAGTCGTCAACTCGCTCACATCTTGCGTGTTGGCGCTCCAGCCCACTGCTGTCGTACGGCTCGACGGAACTTGGATCGAAGGTTTCCTGTTGGATGTGTAGGTAGAGGTGGCCCAATTGCTTGGTCTCCACACTCACCTGATCTGGCCCTGTTCGGTTTCTACTTGTGGGGCCATTTAAAATAATTTGTGTATTCATCTCCGGTGAATGATTTGGAATCCCTTTGGAATTGAATTGTGGTAACAGGACTTAAACAATTCTCCTGAAATTTGGGATCGTGTTTGCAGGTTAATGTTACATCGGTGTGAGGTTTGCTTTCAAGTAAGATGTGGACATTTTGAACATCTGTAATGACGACGGAAAGAAAATCATTTCAGTGAATATCAGCGTTATGAAGACCCTAACTCGGAAATGAAGAATTTTTGCACGCATGTTCTAGTAAACTATTTTGATTGTCTGCATATGGGGAATACTTGAAATTAAGTCCCCCTATTTTTTAAACATTATATGTTTGAGATTTTTTGTTTGGGTCAGGCATTTATGCCTACAAACAAACAGCTGCGTTATAGCTAGCAACTCTTTTGTGAGTTTGTTCATTTGGGTGCAATTTTTAATGTTTTTGACCAAGAATTAAGGAATGAATATCCATTGAAAAACGTGTTGTTATATACTGCTAGGTGATCTGAAATGCCTAGAGAATAAATAGTACTAAAATATACAAAAAA